TCTGCAAATACTTGAAATTAAGCCCTTATCTATTGGGGAAGTTATGCAAAGATAGACGTCGTCGCGTAAGTGTTAAGTAGTAAAAACAAATAAAAAAGAAAGCGGTGTCTTTGCAGCTCCACCATTATCAGACGCTCTTATGGCGTCTAACACAACTGATTCCTCGGGAGTCTTCTACCTCGGAGGAACAGCGTCAGGAATTTTGCCGCTCTCGCCTGTCCTGCACATTGAAAGTGACTGTCGAGGAAAGGTCCAAGCTTTTTAGACTTAAAAAATCTTGATTTCATCCACGTATCAAGAATCTGAAGTATTTAACAAATTATTAAGATACAGCCTCTTTTCAAGAAATAATTTCCAAGTTTTTAATAAAACGTACAATAGTTTCCAGGATCGACTTTCTATTAAACTCGGCATTGGAATATGAATGCGTCGTTTTCTTGTTCAGCAATCGCGAAGTTTTTAAACAGCATACATTTACTTCCATAGAGAAACACAATACAATACAACACTGGCTGACGTTTCGGCAGTATCGCCTTCTTCAGAGCCGCTTTTTCGTGACTTCCAAAAGTCAGCTACGTCAGCTAGCGTTGTATTGTATTGTGTTTTTCTATGGAAGTAAATGTATGCTGTTTAAAAACCTTGCGATTGCTGAACAAGAAAACGACACAAAACGTACAATATTTTTCTAGACTGTGAAGATGAAACTACGAGCTTCAAAAGGAGACATAACGCGAACTAAGGTAACCATTGCTAAGAATTTCGATGATTACAAGATTTTCGTTGGAGGCTTGTATTCGGCCTCCATACCGCTGCTTCGTTTTCTAGGACAAAGTCAAGCAAATAACTCAGTGAAAGATTACGCACAAACAGTGTCTGTTTACTAAGTTTGAGCATAATGTTACCTCCAGATTAATTACGTTTGTTCCTCTATGTGGCCATGTTTCTTAAGCATCCTTTCTCACCGTTTATTCGCTCATTTTTGTGAACGATTTACGTCTCCTACAAGCAAACCAAGAACTCCATTACTTCCTGATTGATGAATTCCAGTTCTCCATTTGAGTGATAAAGATGGAAAACTTTTTTGGCGCTGGGTAGTCAACTGTTTTGAACACAAATCACTGAAAACTGCAGACATTTGGTTATCGGTTAAAGTATTTACTGGAAATAGAATGCAGAAAATGAGCTGTAAAAACTCTTTACTCAATATTTTTTTATAATTCTACATCGTCCTATTATTTTCAGGATGTGAAGGAATTTTTCGACATTGGCATTATCAACCTCCATTAATATCTAAAATTGACTAACTACAGTCAATGGAAGCGTTCTGCATGGGCAAAGCTCTTCCTTCATTTCATCACTCGAGTTGGACGAATAGAAAAATTCTGAACTGCGGAACACAACAATATTACAATGGTCGATGATTTTACGATAGTATACCGACTTCCATAACATTTGTATCTGTACATCATCAATAAAATGAATTGGCTACATGAAAAGTTGGAGGTGAAATCCGCCTTATCCTTCGGAGAACAGAAACTAGCTGAGTTAAGGGCGCCCATTCGGTGTCATCGATGACTCATCCACTAATTGGAGTCTGGTCGTTCGCAAAGCTCAGGTTCTGCCACGCGTGTGTATTTAATGGTGTTTTGACACTCAGACATATCGCATTCACGTTTTTAAAGTAGCTCCCAGGCATGAAAGCTTATTCTCTCTTTGTTATCCGTTTTCTTTAGATCCCTTTCAATTCCACCTCTTTTCTGCCGCCCGGTTTTTCGTTATCCCACACCTTCTTACCTCTACCTCTCTCTCTCTCTTAGTCTCTCTTTTTGTTCCCAAATACCTGTTACTGAGATTTAACATACATGACGATTTTAACTTTTAAAAGGCAATTTCGAGCTTTTTTGACAAACCTCATTTCTCAAACACTTTCAGCAGTGCTGTTCCATTGCGAACACCAAAGTAGCGACAGCACGTTGACAAAGTGTTAATTGATTTCTAACGTTCGCTCACAAGCTGAACTTTATTAGAGCTCTAGCAAAAATGTACTTTACCATGTAAAGTGAGAACTCCCGTGCTATGCAAGCGAGAAACTTGTAAAAATTAGCAGTTTGATTGGATGTTCGAAATCCAAGCCTGTTTCTCTCACTGTGCCAAGTTCAGAATAGAACGATCTAATTCGGCAGAAAAACTATCCTTGAAAGGAATAACGCTTGTCTGGAAAACTCCTGAAAAACAAACAGCTCTCCCTTTAATGACTTCAATTTCCTCGATTCTCCTTGAAGTTTTTTCTGAATTTTCTTATCAAAACGTACAAAAAAGCTGAACGATGTCAACTTCTGAGCGACAGTTGAACGATATCACGTTCTCGACGCTGCTCGAGCAATAGGCCCTTATTCGGTGCGTGTTTGTTGTCGTTATTTGTGTCTGGCCAGCATAAAAAAGGAATTCTAGTTCCTGTTTCCACTGAGCTTTCTTTTTCTCAAAGTGCAGCAATGGCTTTCTTCCGTGTTTCCTTCCATTATTTACATTTTCTGAGCAGCGAATATCACGGCGAGATTACTTAACTACTTACTACTCCACAGAAGTGGCAAGAATTACTTAACTACTTACTACTCCATAAAAGTGGTAAACTTGTTTTGAAGTCAGAAAGACTTGGAATAACAACTACTTCTCAGGAAATACCCAGAAAAGTGGTTTATTCGCCGTTATTTATTAAGACGTTCAACAATCGCCGTTCTGATTTTATCTTTTGTTGCCAGCACTCATTTCATGGTCAATCGTATGTGGTTAGTGATGCGGCCTATTAGGAAGCAAAGCGCTGTTTCGACCTCTTTCCCAGCGCTCTCCTCCGGTCCACATTCGAAGGCTTTAGCTCGACTGTCTCCAAGACTACCAGGAGAATCGACTCGACCAGCATTCTTCGACATTCATAAAGATGATTAAATCTTGAAGCAACAGCCGAAGTCACACGTAAAAGGTGAAAGACCTTCGTGGTTGATGGATACGAGGAAACGAATCGAGTGCAAGAAATGCTTAGAACCGCACAGTAGGTGTGATAGCGCGTCATGTAAAATAGAAAAAAAACATATTAGGACGAGCAGCCGTAGACAATTGACTTGTTCCAATCAGGTTCTGAAGAGGGCTAAATTTTCGAAAGTTACCCGAATGAAACTTTTATATTAATCTTGCGTTAACTTAGCAATTTAAGAAATTAATAATAACGGAAACAGACAAATAAAATATTAAGAACATGGATTTGATACATCTTTTCCAACAACACACATAGCGATTAAATGCAGATGGATTTTAGCAGAAAAACTGAAAGCTAAAATTTCCTTGAGCTATGAATTTGCTCGAAAAATGTCAATTGGCCTGGGAAAGGTGCTCATATCGTGCTGGGTTAAGTATTGTTCCTTATCCGCATTCTTTAAACTTGTAAAAATTTTCCCTTTTCGAATGCACTTAGACATTTTGCACAACAGTTTTGATCCACGTCGACCTATTACTGCTGTTGTAGCACTTTCCGATGTTCCGCTTTCCATTTGTTGTTTTAACGATTTTTCGAGGATTCAAGAAGTTTCCATGGTGGAAGGTTCAACCCTTCGTGAACAAAAAAGCCACTGTAACCTTTTCCTGCCAAGGTGATATCAAGAAGCATCTCATCGCAGGCAATCTCTACACAAACTTCATCTACTCTCCTAGAGAACACAGTTTGATCGCACACCACACTATCACAGAATAGATTATTCCATTGAGTTAAACCAATCGCAAAAAATATTTTTTCACATAAAACTTCTGTTCGGCATGCTTCCCAGTGGTCATCGAAGTCGTCGAAGGCAGAAGGATATCGTCGACAGTTTCAGAGCTACTGCAGCCATCATAAAGCTTTTACTCGAACACTCTCACTATACTGGTTAACTACGACACAGCCTAATGAAACTTTGAGCCGTTTTTGAGCTTTCGCGTCATCGTTTGAATTCCTAGAAAAATTGTACTAAATTGCTTCCTTTTCATTTTATGCTTCCGGTGTCATCAACTGAGGACGGATTGAGCAGCGCAGTGAAAGAACAGGAACTTCGACGTTAACATAACTACTAAAACAGTAAGAAATATCTAAGGCAAGGTGTTCAGTGAAATATATGAGATTGGTAAAATGTACACTTCATTTTATCAACATGAGCACTAAGTCATAGAGTTATATTTCAAAACAATTCGCCAATTTTCGGAGAGGCAAAACCAACAATGTTTTTTGAAGAAAGGGAATATCAGTCAAACTCTAGCCAACTGAAAGCCTTAACTAGTTATGAGTCATCTCTGTGATGATTTCCTCCACTTAACTTGTCATGAGTAATCCACTTGATGACCTCTGTCATTCAAGATAGGTAGTGTGTGTGTGTGCCTGTTCAACAACTGTACGCGTCATCACTTCACGTTCTGTCTTTCATCCTTCGTTTTCGGTGGTCCATGCTGAGTCATCAGGTGAATCGTCTTTCTCCAGCCATTCTAGAAAGTCCCTGTCACTTTTCGTAAGCACCAATGGGCAGTGAAAACATCGACAACAGTCTATGTGAGAAATCTAATCCCTTGCAACAGCTGTTAGACGATTTCAGTATTTATATAGATCGATCCTTCCCGTTGACACATGACCTTCATTGCTAGTATACTCAATGACAATCGCTTTCTACCTAACCACACTTTCGTTATGAATGAGATCGCGTATAACCGGCCTTTTTAACGATTCTTACGATTAGGATACTTTGTGGAGTCCTGTCCTCTCCAGAGGACCACTGGTTCTCTCTAAAGCATTTATATTTAAGAACATATCGCTCCTCTTCTTGTCTACGCATGCAAGAGCCCTGTAACTTTGTACTGTTTCTTAAACGGTAAAAATTCCATCTAAATTCACTGTTTCCCATTTCGATCTTAAAACACTGTCTTTTTTGAACGTCTCGATGTTTGTCATTACAACGGATAATAACAGATTTTTTCCAAGTTTTAGAATGATTGGATTGCTCTACTCATTGCTTCTTCTGCCGCTGTCTTTTTCGTTAAGAGAGCAGTCAATCGCAGTAAAAGGACGCTTCCTTTGTGGCGATAAACCGGCTGCAAACGTTCGAGTGAAACTCTGGGAAGAGGACTCAGGTGTGTTCCTCAGAGTATCTGCGCTCCATGTATTGCTGAAAGGCCTTCTGCGAGGCCTTGGCTGACTGGTTATGTCTTCAGAAAAATCCGGTCCTAACATTTCTGTTGAATTCCCGTTACAAGCGACTGCAAAGATCCAAAGTAGTTCCTTTTTTGCTCAGGTAGATTTTCAAATAAAAAATGAATAATGGGATACTATGTATGAGCTTAAATTCGCACTTTTCAAAGCCTTTGAATAACCGATTAGATTGGTTCTACCAATATCATGACGCACCACGGAATTACCGTTCCACACCAAAAAGTCCAAATATCCGAATATTCGTGAAGGATCATTCGAATTTATGACGACCAAATTGCTCTGGTCGCGGTGTAAATCGCTCCTTCTTTCGGGAGGAAGGCTGCAACGATATCATATTTCACATGCAGCTGTGATCTCTTCGAACCACTGAATTTCCCAAAACACATAACGGAACAAAAAAAAAGAACGGAAAATTTGTTTTAATCTGCTCTTTCTAAAAGCTACTTATGGCAGATTGGGATTTTTTAACGATCATTATTTGGCAGCAAAAAAACCTTAAAGTTCCATTGTGATATCATCCAAGGACATAAATAGTACTGCAGATTACTTCTGCATTCCAGGACCAGATCCAGACGACTTACTTGACCAGGGTTACACTGACTCCGATGGCGCTTTTTATCTACAGGGCGCAACTGTGGAGACGACTCCCATAGACCCTGTTCTTAAGGTTTACCACGACTGCAACGATGTGACTGGATTTCTGTCAGTACCAAAGGTAAGACATTTGGTCAAAGGTCGACATCTGTGCTTCAATCAGATACAACGTGGGCGGAAGTGCGTAATTTTGCACTAAATCTTTGTAAGAAACGAAGCTGTCAAAATGATAGGAGTTCAAGTATCATTTTCTGAATATCTACTAATTTTCATATATAATCGGAACCATAAAATAAAAGAGATTAATTACACCAAGAGAAATCCGTTTTCAAACTTAAGCAAAGTTTTCGGTCTTAAAGTTAATCCCAACATTTCACATAAGGGCACTTCTTCACTAATTATCCGGATTACTGGATTAGATTTGAAAGCCAGATGACTTCTACAGGGAAATAGCCATCAATGAAGCTGAAGAAAGTAATGAATTTTTAAGATTGGCCGATATCTTGTGCATTCGTTCTATTAATGCTTAGCATTAACATAATTTAGATGGTAGGCAGACAGAGACTCCGATGTTTCCTGAGCGAAAGTTTTGGATTATCTCTTTAAGTTAGGCATACATAATTTTGATTTTATTTAAGCCTGGGAGCCGCAAAGTGAAATTTTCTCTACCAGACAAATACATCACTGATGGAATGACTCCTCGGAAAACGATGGATATTGGAGTGATAAATCTGGAATTGGAGTTCCAAGACGAAGGCCGAGAATACATTGTCGACTAATAGAGTAGAAATCCTGCACATTACAGTGCTGGAGAAGGGCACACTGTGCTAAAATGATGTATATTTACATAAACATTTTTTTAAACGTGACCACTGTCATTTGCAACACTCACAAGAAGCTTCCTAATGTTTTAATGTCAATTGTATCATTTATCTCCTCCCACTAATCGTCGAGTCACTCGAGTTGTTTTTGTTCGATCTATGAACCTGGAGAGCATCATATTCTTCCCCTTGCGCTCCTCAATTTTCCTGCTCTTTCCTGCTAATGGGTTGACATCCCGTAGCAACCAAATTCCCGCAGTTCTCTTCCACCGGTTGCCGTTAAGTGTGATGTGTATTTGACGCACCTGATTTCCAAGTTCTTAGCACATATATGAGGACATCAGCGTTTTCATTGGAAATGTCGGCAGAGTATCTAACCTTTCTTTCAGTTGCGTATAATCAGATACTTTTAACTTCAACTTGTGGGCAACGCACTGAGTGGTATTCTTCCCTGCTTACGTATCATCAATGTTCCGAGGTCTGCGTAGCGACAATGAAAAACGAGAGCCAGCAAGGTGGATATGCAGCAGGCCGTTCCTTGTTTTCTTGACTACATCGTCGGCATTCTTCTTACCTCTCCTACTAGTTCGTTCCCTACTGCTGAGCCCTGAAGTTAAGTATTTCGTCATGTTGTCTTCTCTAGTCACAAACACATATTTCCATTCTCATGAGAACATTCAATTTTCGGAGCATGAATGGACTATCATGAACCAATCTGTCACTTACGGACATATTTTTTCTAAAACTCAATAGGTGATCGATCATTTAAAAAGCATTGTAGAACTTGGCTAGCATCCGTTCCACATGTCTACGGTTTCGTCTTATGAAAACGAGATCACCAACAAAGCGAAGACTGTGTAGCTGCCGAACATCGATTTTCAGTGTCATGATATCCTATTCTAGTTTTCGTATGACATTCCAGAATGTAATTTAAACAACTCTTATAAGATATCATCGTCGTGCCGAACACTTTTGCTTAGATCAATAGTATTTCCTTTACAAGATACGAAATTCTAGTCGGCTAATTGAAGAGCTTCCTTATTTTTTGTTCAGCAATCGCAAGGTTTTTAAACAGCATACATTTACTTCCATAGAAAAACACAATACAATACAACACTAGCTGACATGGGATGGTGCGGTCGTCAACCACATGCGACTATAATCAGCTGTTCCAAACTTCCTCATTGGAGGTCACAAAAAAGCGGCTCTGAAGAAGGCGATTCTGCCGAAACCTCGGCTAGTGTTGTATTGTATTGTGTTTTTCTATGGAAGTAAATCTATGCTGTTTAAGAACCTCGCGATTGCTGAACAAGAAAACGACACATTCATATTCCAATGCCGAGGTTAAGAGATAGTCGATCATGGGAGCTTCCTTATTGTCCAGAACTTCTAGAACGACCACAACTTTTATGTCTGAACTGAGTAAAGGCTTTTTAGATCAACAGAATAAGGGATGAATTATTTTCGATGCTTTTCTTGCTGAAATAGCTGTCCTTCCAAAAGTTTTCTGTCCACGTTGTTACAGATGAGTGCAGTGAAGAGTTCACTGATGACAACAGGTAGCAGTAAGATCGCACAGTCAACATGTAAAAATTGATGCAATTTGTTGATAATGACTGGGGAGCGTTTCTCAGACATTTGGGCCCTTTCCTATACGATTCGGGTGTTTCACAATTCCTCGTCGACTCTTCGATGAAATATTAAGTTGAATTTTGAAAAAGAGAACCGGAGGGACGATATACCCATCTTTCCTTCTGTAGAGCCTTGCAAGCTCGTTAATCGGTGATTGTCTATTGTTCATGGGATTCTATGTCGGCGTATTAATTCGTGTGTCTTATCACCTGCAGACATGCATCTCTTAGTGATCCTTAAACTCTCGGATTTCATAGCGCTGAAGTGAAAATGTAGAAGCTCATTAATGATTTGAACAAATTCCAATTTTTGGTGGTTTAGGGTTCTACTTTTTCGATTTCAGGTATTTTTATCCTTTGTGAAAAAATGAACTTTTCGTAGGCGAGAACACGATAGCTTGATACTGTGTAGAATACGGCGGAATCGGTTGATCGGTTATGCGAAGTCTCCGTTTTACCATGATATGGTCAATTTCATTTTGGTATTGTCCACTAATCGACGCCTTTCCAGATGTTCTCTAAGGTCCAGTTTCAGCGTTGTTTACTACCAGTGATAACCTTAAAGAAAATTTGATCTTCTGATTAAAAACCCTCAGTGTACAGGACGCTTCTATCCTTCCTCTTCTATAGCGTGATGATAAATAGAAGAGCACGAAGCCTATCAAAACCACTTCTGGTTGAAATTTTTTCAACAGCAAATTTCGTCATTCATCTGCGCAAGGACTCTCTCTTTTCTATGCTCAAGAGAATAGTTCTTCTCGATGTCATAAATAGAACTTCTGTAATGCTGAGATATTTGCAAAACTCCGGACCGCAGGTGTCTGTGGTGGGAAACGAACGCGCTATTGTTCTTTCCGGGTAGTAACGCGTTCACCACCACACCATGCGGGCCCTTCGTTTCGCCTGTCTCTCAGCTTAAGCATAAGCATAGCATACCCTGCCGTTAAAAATTATAGTAGGCAGCAAATGAAAAAGGTTAAGATTGTGATCATAACTATAGTCTCAGCTTTACTGGGTTGTTCGATGCCGATTTGGGCTCCCCAGATCAATCCCGCTGACTAGTGATTGTTGAAGGCACTGATCGATAGAATTACCTGAGAGACGGGTGAAGCGAACGACATGCATGGTGTGGTGGTGAACGCGTTCGTTCCCACCGCAGGCACCTGCAGTCCGGAGTTTTGCAAATATCTCAGCGTTATAGAAGTTGTATTTCGCAACATACCCTGCCGTCAAAAAGAATAGGCAGTAAATAAAAAGGTTAAGAATGCCATAAATAGAGTTACCTGAGACTTCAGCAGAATCTTGGAACGCTTAGCCTGTCCCGAAATTCACATAAAGCTCGTTCGTTGGAGGCCACAGACTACTCACAGAAGAAACAGAAAGCCTATTCTATGAACCGACCCACGTTTCTGACTCGGGAAGCAGGTGGTCGCTTTTGCACCAAATTCTATCCCGTAGGGATAGACCATGGGGCCTCAAGGCAAACCAGCATATATGTCGTTGGGATGACGAAAGCTAAAATTCCACCACCCATAAAGATCACACCTTCTCTAGGACACTTGCTAAATTGAAAGTAGACGAGTAATAAAATACTCTGCTACCTGTTCCAAAATAATAGGGTGGACAGCTCCCAGTATGCGGAACCATATGGAACCATGGGAAAGATTCTATAGGTGGACGATTGTGCTCTGTTGTCATGTCAACAATGCAAATAACTCGCACAATCAAATACCATTGCTTTCGAATGGTGATAATGCATTATTCACAGTAACGAACTTTTGTAACAAACTATTATGTGGATTTAACAGCATTAATAATAAGAGACGTTAATGAAGCACATGAGACGCGAGAAATGTGTGGACAACGATATTATGCCATCAAGTGTAAAACTGTCTTGAAAAATTTGTCATAGAGGGATTTCGACAGACATCTGGTCTGAGATCTTGAACTTCTTCTCAGTTGAATGGCTATGGCCAGAAATGAGTCAAGTGCAGACTTTTACGATATGACTGCCCCGAACACTTGTAGAAGTGATGTGGCGTTCATCGACAATACACATTAATATTGCGTGAAGGCGCATTTGACTCAATGAAGCGCAGCAGAGTGGACTGAATGGATATTTTTGGATAGGCAGTCCTTCCGGGTCGCCTATTCTGTGACGCGCGGGCGCTATCGATGCATTCAGACCGTGTTTCTTTTGCAAACCCTACAGAGATGAACAAGCTCAACCTGTAACGCGGGGTGGAACCAATAACCACGTATTTCGTAAAGAGCACTTGTTACCACTATGCCATCGATGAAGTATATAACTACTATAAAATGCGAAATATCGTGTATTTTCACACTTAGTCATGTACATGAAATTGTTCTGTTCTTATGACCACGTTTTTCACACTCTTGACACTCACAACGAGTGATACCAATAGCTGTTATGATTCTTTTTCAGGAGTGGTCGTTGAGGCACCTACAAGTCTCATTTTTTTTCCCGATGGTTCATTTTAGCAGATATCACCATTTTCCTTTTTACTACCAGTTAATAGCTTGTACAACACAGATTTCTTCTAGAGCGTTGACCGGGAGGAGCTCTATTCTTTGCTAAGAAATATGCAAAAATTTACAATTTTCAATTATATATATATGTATATATAGAGCACATGGTTGTACTAAATATACAAAACTATTTCAATTCTAGTTACTACAGCGAGTTATAGCTATCGTCCAGAGTTTACGGATGTTAAAAGTACTGAAATAGAGATCCATAGGCTCCAAAGCTTCCAAACGATAACAGCAATGTGCTTGTATGATGGACTACAGTAACATATTATAAACAGCAACATAAAAACCACTCATGTCGTTTCGTGTACCAAAAACAACTAGTATCTCTGCCCTGTTCTGAACACAATGAGGAATGTACGGAGTATGATAATCAACAGCGGAATCTGCCGAACACTGTCCCTAGGCCAAATTAGCACCACATGGGGGTTACCTTGGGTGTTCAGTGATCTAAAATCTGGTCAGTCTACCAGGATTAATAAAAATCCTGGCGAAACGACGACAGGAATAAAATATTGTCATAAAATAGATGAAGTGTAGGAAATATTGCGGCGTACTTACCCACTTTATCCGGAAGAGAAAGATCCGATCCTTCTACAAAACAATGGCAAAAATTGAGCAGTTTTTGTTGCGGACATTGGAAGAATCGTGCTACAACTAAATCAAAGGACAAAATTTCAACGATGACACAGCTACTGAAAATACCCATGAAAATTTCGTCGTTTCCATAAATCAGAGCCCCATAAGACCGGAATAAAAATACTTGGTACATGG